GTGCATGGAAGGGAAAGGGAATTACACTCCCCTCATGGGCTGCCCTTCCAGATTGCTCTCCAGGAGAGAAGTTTGGCTTCCAGTTGATGATTTCTTAGGTCTGAATAAAATGCCCCCAGTAATGGGCCAGGGATGGAGTGGGAGAATTGCCTTTTTGGCAGCAGGAGCATTAGGGAAGGGTACAGGGCAGGTGGGACCTCCAAACACTGGGATGCTGGAGACTGGGGTGGCATCTATGGTGGTCCTGACTTGGGGAAATGAGGATTGCCACAGCTCCCTGCCATGGTGGTTTTGGACTTAGAGGGCTGATCTCCTGTGGATTTGGCATCTGATGGGGCTATGTATAACTCATAAAAATCACAGAATGGTTTGGATTGGAAGATACTTTAAAGATCATCTCATTCCACCCCCATGCCATAGGCAGGGACACCTTCCACTGTCCCAGCTTGCTCCAAGCCCTGTTCAACCTGGCCTTGCACATTCCCAGGGATGGGGCAGTCAGAGCTTCTCTGGGCAACCTGTGCCAGTGCCTCAACTCTTCACAATAAAGGATTTCTTCCTAATATTTCTTCCTAATATCTAAAGGAAAGCAGTGCATTTCAAGTCAAAAAGAACCCCTGCCTCTCCAGCACAGATGGGTCATTCAAATGCTGTTTTTTCTCTGGCAGAGATTGGTTCAAGGCAGCTGAGATGCCAAGAAGGAGACCCCTGTCCCCACCTTGGGAACTGTGCACCAGTCCTTTTCTTCCTCTGCTTCAGACTCCCAAATGCCCACCCAAATTTATGGATGGACATCAACCTCCATCAGCATTTAACTCTAAGTCAAGTTTGCCTCAAGCATTACCCTCCTGCCCCTTTTTAGACCCAGCAAACCCCAGGCAAGCAGAGAATTTGGGGAAAGAGCCATGAGAAGAACTCAGGAGCATCTTGTGAATGGTGAACACTGGGATGTGCTGGGGACCCCTTGGCTTTGTCTGCAGCCACATTTTAGCCATTCCAGCATGTTGTGACACTGAGCAGGACCCTCCTGCAAACCTCCAGGCCAGGTGCCAGCTCCCTTCCTTTTGGAGTCTCGCCTGGGGATGTGAATTTTCTCCGAGGGGAGGAGGCGAGCTGGTTCCACAGCCAGCCTGTCATCCATCTTGAGGAAAGCACTCCTCTCTCTTTGCACCTCTCCTGGAAAGGTGGGGACCAGCATTCCACAAGGCCCGGAGAAAAAGCTCGGAGCCATTTGTTTACCAGCACAGGTTTTCCTGGAGCTAATTAATGAGCCAAGCTGATACACCCTGCAACAGGTATCGATGACAGAGGATTTCCTGCCTGCTGCACTTGAGCAACGGGAGGGGGTGAGGCTGGATCTGTGTGCACAAAGCTTCCCCTTCTCCTTTTCATCAAAAAAAACTGGGAAAGAAAAGCCACCCACACTGCAGGAAGCCCCTCTGCCATCTCCCCCTGGAGCATGGGCACCATCCCTGCTGGATGATACCACGGGTGGATTCCCGGGAGCAAAGTGCTCGGGCATCCCTTTCTGCCACTTGCAGGAAGTGAGGGATGGTGTGGAAACCCCTTGGAGCTGGGGGCTGCCTCCGAGCCCCTTCCCAATTCTGGGCATGGGAGTAACAGAGCTGCACTCGGCATCACTTCCACTCCCGTGGAGAGGCTGCGGGAGTCTCTGCTTTCACAAGGATGCTGAAATTGGGGAGAAGAGGGGAGGAGGGGGGATAAAACGTGCGGGAGAGCATGGTAAAAAAAAAAAAAAAAGCAACCAAAAAACATTGGGCGCGGGGGGGGGAACAAAAACTCAACGCGAAGGCGACGCTGGAGAGTGGGAATAAACCCCATGGGTTTCGCGTTTCGGGTGCGGGGTGGGAGCCAGCGCTTCTTGCGAGCTCCAGATATGCGGTGGGTTGATTTTTTAAAATTTATTTGTATTTTTTTTTTTTAGCGGGGGGGAATAGCGGAGAGCATCGCTCCGCGGGCTGAGCCGAGCATCCGAGCGCTCCGGGGGTGGCGAGCGGCGATAGCCGGGCGGCGAGCGCCACCTCCCCGCCGCTCTCCGCAAGCCCTGGCCGCCCCCGGCAGCTCCCCCCGCTCCCGCTGCCGCCCTGGGGATGGGGGAGGCTGAGGGGGAACCCTGGCACTAGGTGGAGATGCCCGATGCCCGAAGCCTTTTCCCAACCTCTCCCACCGAGGGGTTGCATTGGGGATGGTCCTGATGCTGTGAGAGGGATGGAGTGGGATGTGTGGGATAAGGGGTTTTGCTAAGTTTGGCGTGGTTGTAAAGGGGGTTTGTGGGGTGCTGTAGGGTAGGGAAGGGTTGTGGGGGTGTCCCAGAGCACCTCTGGGTGCCTGCGGGGCACAGGGGGATGCAGGTCTTGCCGGGGTGGCAAAGGATGGGATGTGGGGTGCTCCCCCAGCCGTGGTGGTTGCCTTTGGGGTGTGATGGGGTCCCACACACACACACACACACAGTTCCCATCCCGGGTATGAGGTCTGGCACACAGTCCCTGCCTCATTTTCCCTCACCTAAGGAGAAGGGGCTACAGTCATTAATAGAAATCCCCTCAGCTTTGCAGCCAGCGCTTCCCTGAGCCTGAAAACCTTCACTGGTCGATTCCGGGGGCTCCAAGCCCTTCTCCCTGTACCCAGGGCTCCGCAACACCATCTCAAGTGCTATGAAAAGCACCAAGAGCCCTGCTCCTGCCCTTGCTGTGCCTTGTGCCAGCTCCTTTCTGGTTTCCCCCTTCATCCTCCACAGCAGGAGTGATGCTGCACCCTGACCCCTCTGTAACACCCAGAGCAGTTTATCGAGGTCCCCTGGGTTTTCCAAACCCCTGTGCCCCTCCGAGACCCCTCAGGCAGGATGTCCTGCGTGCTCAGCCCTCTCCTGTGTCCCCTGCCTGGCTCTGCCCCGTCCCCTGGCAGTGCGGCTTGGCTGTGCTGGTGCAATTCCTCAGCACCCTCCAAGGGTAAAAACCTCCACGGCACTGCCCTGCCACCTCCTTCCTCTTCCTCAGGGAGGTCTTGGGCACAGGAAGGACTGTGGGACCCAGGTTAATGAGTCATTAATTAATTAGGGACCTACTTAATATGCACGGGGAGTTGTTTGTTTCCTTCAGCAAGCCCGGACTTTGGACGAGATCCCAGCCCTGCGAAGCCTCCAGCCTGGTCTCCCAGCTGATAATAGATAATACAGATATTTCAGCACCAGCCAAAGCAGAGTCATCATCATTAATACAGAGCCCTCCCCGCTACACCACGGAGGTCACCAGGCAACTCCGGGGGGCTCAGCCCTCCTGGCTTTCCTCAGGCTCTGCCTGGCCAGGTGAGAGGAAACCTGAAGTGATCAACAGGTCTCGGGGCTGGGGAGGTGCCCCCTGCACCCCGAGCATCCCTGGCTCCCTCCCAGCGAGGCTTTCGGGGCGCTGCGATTTTCGCTCTGCCGCGCACGCAGCTTTGGGCATCTGTCAAAGTAGCTCCGCTCTTCCTCAGCCCCCTTCCTCCCCTCCTCCTCCTCTTCCTCCTCCCTCAGCCATCAGCTGTCAGCTGGCCCTGGCAACTCGGCAGACCCAGTGCTGGAGCTGCGTTGATCGGAAAGCCCCGGCTCTGAAGGGATGGGGCGGTCAGGGATGGCAGGGGGTGTCTCTGTGCCCTCCATCCCTTTGACCTTGCCTTGATGCTCCCCTCCCTCCCCGCTGCTCTCCGTGCCGCTGATTCACAGGGGCTGTTTGCTTGGCCAGGGCAGGATCAGGGACACGAGTGTGAGTCACAGCCGAAGGTACCTGGCAGAGTTCATCTGCAACCCCCGTGCCTTCCATTCGGTGCCTGCTCTCAGCCAGGACTGAGAAGTCCCTTTGAAACCTCCACCTGATCCCCCTGGATCCCTCTCTTCCCCTTGGCAGAGCCATGGCTGAAACACCTCTCGGTGAAAGTCTGAGGATGCATCAACAGCCGCCCTCCATCAGCGAATGTCAGGCCGTGAAAGGCAAGGGGGCGGTGGGGGAAGAGGGAGAGACAAATTTTGCGGTTCATTCCCACACAGGGTGATTCAGAACAAGATGCTTTGTAATTACGCATCCCTGATGGAGACTCCTTCTCTCTCTCCACCCGCTCTCCCCCCCGCTCCCCAAAGAAAGGCAAAGCCTTGCCTGGGTGCCAGCATCCCCGGGAGCAGCGTGTGTGTCTGTGTGTCTGTGTATCTGTGTGTCTGTGCCACACTCGGAACTCTGCGGAGGCTAAAGGTTAATTTTCACCCCCGCTGTGAAACCAAGTGCTGAGAAATGGCAATTTGGGGGAGCACATGAGGAGCTCATCGCCTCCTCCAGCCCTGGGTAGGTGCCACACAAGCAGTGAGGCAAGAACGGACCCCCCCACACCCCGAGGGAAAGGGGGAAGGCTGGAAGCTGCCATGAGGGTAAATTCATGCCCGGGGCAGGCAGCTGTCTGTCCTTCCGGCACTTTGTTTGCCAACATTGCGGGCTGAGGAGTCCCGGACCCCGGGGCTGCCCGCGGAGGCACCGCGGCGCCGCTGCACTTTGCAGTTCAGCCCCGGCTGGCTCTGCAGCTCTCCTGTCGCGATCCCCCGCTCCTCTTCCCTCGCCTGGCTGCCTTCTATCCCCCCCAAAAACCCAGTCCCCATCTCCCTTCCCCGGGACACGTCTGCATTTCCCCCCTCCGCAGCCTGCAGACATTCAATATTTTCCGCCGGTGCTTGATGTTTGCCCACAGGACCCGCATGCACAAAAGTTAAAACTTCCCGTATCAGGGAATGATTACGCTCTTATCAGTCCAAATTGCTGAGTGGAAGGGGACGGGAGCATCCTCCGGGTGCTGTTTCCAGGGGTAAAAAGAGAGGAGTGGGTGCCCAGCGCTGCCCCCATCGCCGTCTCTCCCGGGGATGGAGTCAGACCCCCCTGCGCTCCAGGCAAAGCCGGAGAAGTCGCGTTCCCCCTTTTCCCTCCCCTCCGTGGAAGAAGGAATTGTGGCCGGGAGCCCCTTACCTTGTCGAGCTCCCCAGGTTTTATATCCTCCTCCTTCCCTTCGTCAAATTCCAAATGGAAACCAGCAACATATCCAGGGGTAACCAGCCCAACATTGGGCAGCGCGTGAAGTCCAAAAGGATGGCAGAGCTCTCTCTCTCCCCCTCTGCTTCCTCCACTCTTGCCTCTACATATATATATACATACACATTTATATATATAAATATATATGTGTGTATATATTAAATGGAAAAGGGGGAAAAATCCTAAAAGAAATGGGGGTGGGGAGGGAGAGGAAGGGAGAACCTTTGGTGTCTCTGCAGACAGGCAGGTAGAAGAGAAAAGCTGAAAATAATTAAGCCGTTTTTTGAGGAATCCTTAGGAGAGGGGAAAAACGCAGTTAAAAGCCAGTAAATCATTAGATCCAAGCAGACAATCAAGTCTTCTCCTTTGGAAAAAAAAAATATACAGCAGGGTTCAGAGTAGCTTTCCCAGCAGCGAGGAGCAAGAATGGTCTTCTTCAGGAAGATATGTTTGTTTAAAATCCACTCGTCTGCTTTTCCTTCTTTCTCTCTCTTCTCCCCCCACACTTTTTTTTTCCTCTAAAATTTATTTATTTATTTATTTTAAATTCTGCTTCTGAATCTCTCTCTCTCTGAAACTAGATCCAGTCTTTGTAGCCAGGGGCTGCATTAAGGATTACATCAGGCTTTTATAAGCTTTCCAGATCACACATTAGAGTGAGAGAGAGAGAGAGAGAGAGAGAGAGAGGGAGGGAGGGAGGGATAGGAGGGAGGGATGAAATGCACACACACACATACACACGCACACGCACGGATCGGAGCTTTGTAAAACAGGCAGCTATAGGCGAGGACCCGAACTGACACGGTATCGCATCGGGCATGCTCCGCTAGCCTCCAGCAGGAGAGGATGGCTGGATGGATGGATGGATGGATGGATGGATGGATGGATGGATGGATGGATGGATGGATGGAACAGAGGAGCCAGCCACAAGCCGGAGCGCTCTGCCGGCTCAGCAGCAGCGCAGCCTCCTCGGGACAGCTTAGCCCTAAGCGGGGAGAGCCAGGAGGTGAAGAGGGAGCCGGGATGGTGGTGGTGGTGAGGATGGCGAGGCTTCTGCTTCCCCCCCCTCCTCTCTCCCCGCCCCGCTCCCTCAAAAACCTGCGGAGGCTCAGCACGGAGCGGTGCC